AAGTCGGGTATGGGATTAGTTTTACTGTATTGTTTGTTTTCGGAAGCATGGACTTGGTGGTAGAGGAAGCCGTAACCGACCAGCGGTTACGTGAACCACCCAACGACGGCGAGGAGTCCAGCAACCCTCTCGCACATAACCATCCCTGCATGAGATTCGAACCTGCGAACCCACGCAGAGTAATTAGAGGTGCGGTGGCGAGCGTATTCCTAACGCTTAGCCCGTTGAGCCACACCGCCGCGCCTACCAAATGCATGATTACTAATTTGTTATGTTAAAACGTGGCGCGGGTGTTTTTCTCAAATTTCACATTTTAACATCAGTGGCCGGGGCTATGTAAAAATATCCCAGGATATTACCCATTCTTTGTCTGTTTTCATCAGATATTTTGTCGCCCACTATTGCTATTGTGGAACCGAAACAAACGCACTTACGCACTTCGTCGGACGACTAATGATTATTAGCTAATCAGATTGTTTTTTTATGGCGTTATAGTTCTTTTGGTATATATTTAAATCTATAAAAGTAATTTTATGAAGAGAAACTTCAAAAGAGGGGCTAATGATCCAAAATAAAGCATTAGGTGCGGTCCGAATCGAATACCCGAAATGCTCGGATTCGGACGGCGGCCCGCTAGTTGAGTAGCCCTGACGTAATTTATACGGCAAGATATTGAAACCAAAAGAAATCGATATCGTTTTGTTTTTAGATCACACTTGAAGTTTAGAAAGGTATAAGAGGCCACTTTCATTTGAATTTGATTCTGAAGTGGTCGTAACTCGCAAAGGGACGTGCTAACGGCTATGGATAGGAATTAATTTGCTAATTGCAGAAATGAGAACACTTCGCGCTTCGTGTTAGCTGGTATTTGCTGGCTCCAGTGTAAGTTTAAAACAAATTTTAGCCCGTTATCGCCCCACCACTACATTTGTGATATATGTGTTTTGATTTGTTTACTTCAGGCTAGGTTATAACACTATTATCGTTATCTTCACCGCTTTAGTCAAGTTCAGGGGTGTGCCTTTAGTCAGTGTGGTCATTTGTCAACACTCAGATGTCTCCCCATAAAGCATAAAATTATAACTGGACATTTTATGTTTGAAAAGGCGCTCAAATGGATAGGAATACATATGATTTTTGCTTTTGTCGTTGCGTTAAATCTTGCGCCATTTTGTTCAGTACCTTTACTACTGCAAGACTAAGCGATAGCCGTATTATCTTCTCTTGCCTTTCCCGCCAATTTCCGTGTGTGGCCCAGCTAAATAACTGGAGTTGGTTACATGGCCCGCCGACAATAAATGTTTCACAGCCCTGGTCTAGCGTCAGTTAGAACTCGGTTATATTCTGTCATCGCCCCGCCGCTACATTCGTGATATGTTTGTTATGTTTACCTCAGGCCAGGTTACGATACTATGATCGTTATCTTTGGCGTTTAGATCTAGTTTTGAATAGTTTTTCGTTTGCTGAACTTTTTACCAATTTAGCATGTATTGCTATTCAAAGTAGTTGAACTGTATATGCCGAAATGCCACGGAAAAATGTTTTTGTTAGTAAACTCTCGCAGGAGCGTAGCAAGCAATTTTGAAAGGGGGGGGGAGGGGGGGGGGGTACGCCCCCTCAGCAATGTATTCTCGCTATAGAAACTTTCCGGAAAGCTTCAGGATATCCACCAACTCCCCGTCTTTAGGTCAGATGAAAGTCGGCCGATCGTGGCCATTAAATACATTTTCGGAATAGAACATAGAAGTTTTAAAATGGACAGGTGGCAATTAAATTAATTGCTCTGTTTTGCAAGGATATAGAATGTCCTAAATAGAACGATGCACTTGTGTTAAAAGCGTTTTATAGACATTGAAAATATTATCTCAGTCTATACAGGCCTATTACTTATTGAACATTTCTTGGAACGATAGCACGACGGAATTCTTGCAACGCGACGCAGCCTACACTTATTAATAGCCAAGAGATGTGACACGGGATCGTGCGACAATTTGGATAAGATAGGACTTTCATATTTATCCCCCTGGGGTAAAAATCGATAAGACGGCTCAATCATATGGCGAACCACGGCCTCTCGCCTGGTTATCGGGTATGAAATTAGTTAGCCATTAATTATTTTCAGATGCATGACTTTGATGGTAGAGGAAGCTGTAACCGGCCAGCGTCCACGTTAATCATCCTATGGCGGCCAGGAGTCCAGCAATCCTCTGGCAAATAGTTATTTCAAAGAGATTCGAACCTAGGACCCACCCAGGGTAATCAGAGGTGCGCGGTGGCGAGCGCACTAATAACACTTAGCACGAATGAAAGGTTTGTACTCATTAGTGAGACATATATTGACATTGTCCAGCCTTCGCCTTAAGCAGTACATTATTCGTCTAGGTATTTAATATTTAGTTAATTCACTTAGTTTGAGATTTCAAATAAATTTCGGCGATAGGGGTCATTAAATTAATATGAAATGGTACATAAAAGTGTTAACACCGACAAGTGGTAATTAAAAGGAGATACGCGTGAAATATATCGTAAAGGTACTAGCCCTAGTAAAATAAAATTAATTAGTCTTTTCATGCAAGGATTGTGTTGTTCGGAGTAACGGTAATTTTATATTCAATATAAATGGCTATATATAGGTAGGCTATAGCACGCAATCAGAGAGCAATGGCTTACTAGCAGTGGAGTGGTAGCGTTACACACGAGGGTGGGTACCTCCGTAATCTGTGTAACAGGTTAGGGTTGGGCCATAATTTTGTTCCGATTTTCCTTATTTTAGTTCAATTACGAGTTCGGGGACTGTCTGTGTTAGCCAAGTGAATATACCCATTGTCCATAGTTTCAGTCCCTTTACACAACTTGATGTAAAGTAGACGAACAAAATTAGTTGCCTCCATATTGGTACACACACTTCTGGAACGTCCAAGAATGTGGGGTTTGAAGTCAGAAAAAAGGCCTTGACTGGCAAAGCATTCTCAATACTCAATTATTGACAAAGGCTCGCGTAGGTCAAAATTAGGTTTTCTTAAATTTTTTACACCACGGTAATCCGGTAACCAAACACAGAGTAATTACGTTAGACGACTTCCGGACATAGCACAGTAAACATACGTTACAACTATTCGGCATCGATTGATGTCCTCGGAACACTATCTAAATTGATATACGCATTTACGGAGAGCGGTACTTTTATGTTTATGTATGGATATATATTGTACGTGAACATAGGACGACGACTCAGATCCAGATGGTAGCGTTACATGTAAGGATGTGAAGTCTGAAGTTGTAGCCAAAGTATCATAGGAATTTTCGATTTCTAATGGTAGAATTCAAGGTCAAAATTCCCGACAAAAACCAGAATATATTAACTTGACTACGCACTCTCAATAGATAACTCGAACCAACTTTAAAACACTATTTCTGGCGCGGTAAATGATAACCAGGGAAAGGACTGATTTGTTTAATGCAGGGGTATGGAGTCGAGTTCAGAGCCGAAGTACGGTAGGAATTGCGAATTTGTCGGATCGACATTTCAGTCTTTTATGGGTGGTAATCAAAATCAAACCAATTTATTACACCATAGGAAACCACGGAAACAGGTAATCAGGGAACAGAGTAATCATGTTAGGCGATTTGGTATATTATAAAATGGGAACTCGAGTTGACCTAAGTCGTCACATCATTGCGACCACGGTAAAACGGTATCCAGAGCACAGAGTATTTATATTGGCGATTTGTTTTTGTTTTAGTTGTGAGTTGAAGTTAACCCGATTGATTTACTGGGCACGGTAAAACGGTAACCAGACACAGAGTAATTACGTTGGACGACTTCCGGACATAGCACAGTAAACATATACGGTACGACTTTAATCGGAATCGACTGATGTTCCTGTTCCTCTGATGTTGTGAGTACGGTAACCCGATAATCAGAATACTGAGTAATTACCGTATGTCGGCGCTTGCGATTTCTTGTGGTTGGGAACTAAAGTTGATTCAATTTAATGAACCATTGCGCACACGGTAAACCGGTAACCGTGGCGCAATCGGCATCGATTTATGTTTTATGAACACTATCTAAATTGATATACGAGGTCACTTACGGTGAGCGGTGCTTTTATGTCTTTGTATAAAGCACGTAAACATAGAGAAAGATGGCTTAGTAGCAGATGGTACTGTTACATTACGTAGATGCGTAGTCAATTAAAAAAATGGTTGCGTGGTTTCGGTAAACCGGAAACCAGGACACAGAGTGATTAGGTTGGGCGATTTGGTATATATATTTAGTATATTGGGCGCAGTCTGGAGTCAGAGCTGAAGCAATAATTTCAAATTTTTCGGGACGGGAATTTCAGACATCCAATGGAGGAAATCGAAATTTTCGACATAAACTGAAAAAGCGTCAAAAATACTAAGCATTCTTAATAGGCAGTTTAGATCGTTTTCTACGGGACAAAGTTTTTGTGGTTAAAATTTAGTTTTCTCGAGTCGCCACCCGTATCCAATTCATCACTCCATTGTGACCACGGTAAACTGGTAACCATACACAGAGTAATAACGTTAGACGATTTCCGGACATAGCACATTAAACATATGTTACAACTCTAATCGGCTTCGTTTGATGTTTCCGGAACACTATCTAATTCTAAGTTGCACTTAGAAAAAGCAGTACTTTTATGTCTGTGTATAGAGGTATATATAGTGCAGGTAGCTAGCAGTTAGGGCAGGAGTGGGAAGGTTTGTGACGTAAGAAGTCACAAAAGTCACAGCGTCACAAAAGTAGAAAACGATAAGTCTCGTGCCAAAACTAAAATTTTTTGTTTGGCTGTGGCAACATCAGGCCGGCCAGATTGAATTACGCAACGGTCATGATTTGACCCGCGAGCCGTAGTTTGCTCATGTCAGAATTAGAGAATTAGATCTAATTATGTTTGCGTAGCAGTTACAATACTTCGATGCATACTTCCTCAGCAAAGTTGTAAATTCAAATATCCTTTTTTATTTTTCAGTTTCATATTATAGCATAAACTAGATTGCATTATGGGTAACATTAGTTCTTCCGAAGAGGATGACGTCAGACCTGCCCCACGACCCCGGCCGAGACCGGAACCGGAAGAGCCAATACCGGATGGCGGGCTTGATTTTCATGAAAAACCGGTTGTGGCGCCTCGTCCGCCAGAGGAAAGAACGGACCCTAATATCATTGAAAACTTGGATCAACCCTTAGATGACGATAAATTCAAGATGGGAGTGACCACGGTAAGTTTGTAGCGGAGGCTCTAGTCTGGCAATTGCTAACCGGGGGCCTGTTGCCGCCAAAGAAGACCACCCAACAGTTGGAGGAGGGGGGGGGGGGGGTACGATGCTGGGCTCAAACTGATCGTCAATAGTTATGGCTCGTGCCTACCTTTCCGGGGGGGGGGTAGCTCGGATCTCCCGAAGTTTGTGCATCAAGATGCGCACAAGTTGAACCCTAACCTGGTACACATACTATGTTCAGGTTGTGCGCCATCATGATTCACATACATCGGGAGCACCTTTAGCAGGCTGTTTATCATTCCCGTGGTATTTGTAGTGTTATTTTATTTGGTGGATTCCAAATCCCATTATGTTCAAATAATTCACGCTCAACAAATGAAAACACCCCATTAAATAATCTTATCAAAAAATGTAACTAGGAAGAACGAGCAATTTTCTTGTGAAGTGAGAAGTAAATTAAGTTTTGCGCTTAGCATTGTGGCATCCCTCTAACTGCTTTGTGACCCACTTTGAGGGCCACGGACTCCTGGTTAAGAACCGCTGCTATACTTGTTAATTCCCAGGTATATTATAGTGCAGGGCTACTCAACTGGCGGACCGCGGTCCGAATCCGGACCTTTTGAGTATTTGATTCGGACCGCACCTAATTCTTCATTTTGAATCATTAGCCCCACATTTAAAGTTTCATTTTACAAAATGACCTCTATTGTTTTGAATATATGTGAAATGAAGGATAACACCATAGTAAACAATCTTGATTATCTGGTATCATTATCCGGTCGAGGAAGTGCGCGTTTACGGTTGCCGAAATATAATTTCTGGAAACATCGGACCCAAATAATTTTGAAGTTTTGTATGTGGATCTTCGGTAAAAATAGTTGAGTAGCCCTGTTATAGTGTATTGCACTGCGATCGGGTCGCTGTACAAGTTTCACTTAGACTCAGCGAGATACTGAGCGGGGAAAAAATCGGGTTTTTAAAATATGTTTGTATAGCCTGCCCAAATTATCACGCTTTTGCTCCGCAACTAGAGATATTAAACGTTGGGTCGTTGGGTTCTCCTGAAGTATGCGTACCAAGATGGCGGACACTTGAACGTAGTATGTGTATCGGGTTAGGGTTAGGCCCTAATTTTAGGCACAGATCACTTGGCTAGTCCCCGAACTCGTAATAGAACTAAAATAGGGAAAAATGCAATAAAATTATGCCCTAACCCGATACACATACTACATTCCGATGTCCGTCATATTGGTACTCATATTTTCAGGGGAACCCGTCGTTTTGTGTGATAAATAAACCATTTTATTAGCGCCCGGATTAACAAAAAAACATATTTCTGCAGAACTACGAAGAGTTCCGCGACACAATACTGAAAAAGAGTCGAGACGAAGGCAAGCAATATGTTTTCCGCGACACGAATTTTCCCGCTGAAAAAGAATCGTTGTATTTCAGCCAACGAGGATCGTCAAAATGGAAAAGAATTACTGAATGGAAAAGGCCATATGTAAGTGAGACATTGATACCGTTACCACTAGTGGCGTAATTTTATTTTTTAAATTTCATGCCCCCTACTTCTGTAAATGTAGTATTACGTAACTTTCCTGTGTTTATATGACGTCATATATTCGTGGTATGCCACGTCACATTTAAAAATTTTGTCAAGTAGTAATTGAATAGTAATTGATTATGCTTGGTCGGCATAAATATGGTAACCACGAAACCGCATTTCGTCTCTCCCCACTTTTTTCCTGTGTATTTAAACCTAATTTTCTTTTTCCTAGATTAAATTTTATATCCCATCTACACACTTTATACGCACTTATCAACTTTTCTCTCATCGGGATAAAAATAGCATAAGATAGGTTTCATATATTTATCCCGGGGGAAAGGAAAGTCGATAAGACGGCTCAATCATATGGCGAACCATGCATGGCCTTTCGTCCGGTTACCAGTCCAGGTCGGGTATGGGATTAGTTAGTCAGGTATTTGTTTCCGAATACATGGACTTGATGGTGGAGGAAAGCCGTAACCGACCACCGGTTACGGTGACGAGGAGTCCATCAATCCTCTCGCACATGCCACGGGATAATCAGAAGAACGGTGGCGAGCGTATTCCTAACACGATGTGCCAAATCACCGAGGCGCCAAAGCGTGAGCCTAATATGAACATCTTATATTGCCCCACCGCGAAAGACTTCATAGTACACTGTCTTACTAGTGTTCTGCTCTCTCGAAATAAAAATGGCAACTCTATTCAACCCACCGAAAAATAACTCATTATTCTTTCACTTTTAGGACTTGACAGAGAATCCTCATCTTCTCAAAGACGGCATAACCAGCGATGACATCATACAAGGATCCCTGGGCAACTGCTGGTGGCTTTCGTCTGTTGCGGCAATTTCTAGGAAACCTAAGTATATGCACAGAGTAAGTGTCTCTCGCCTGAAAGAAGGTTTTGGACAACAGATGCTATTTTTTTGAAAGAATCTTTCCTGGTATTGCTAACAAATTTCGCTAAGCTAGCTATCGCGAAAGATGTTTTACTTGCATCTTCACCCCGAATACGGTTCCAGCCGAGCAGTTATTTTATACCGCCACAACCAGGTCATTCAGCAAGTATCCGCGATAAGGGAGAAACTACAATATCTCTTGTTCAGTATTGCCCACTCAATTTATTATGCCCTCGGTAAAGCGTGGTGTAACCTTTTTATATATACATTATACGCTATAGGAAATATTTGGCCCTATCTGCGTGTAATGCCAAATGTTCGTATGTTGTAAATATGCACAATCGAATCCAAATACCGGTTCCCGTGCATTTGACCCACGTACATTTGAACCCACGACAATTGCACCTGCATATATTTTGGAATTTTTTTTGTTTTGCGGATATTTGAACCCCTACAAACCCTAACCTATGGGTTTTAGCGCCTGCATATAGATTGAACCCGCGGATATACACATGGGTTCCAATGTACGGTCACCCAAATAACAGATAACGGAAAACACTTAAAACCTTAACGCAAGTATATGTGATGAAACCAAATTTCTAACTAACAAAAAAACGATGAATACGAGCAACACTGAGCGAGGGAAATATGTCATAAAGGAAACGAATTAGAGCAACGACCTTGTTTCAGGCAAATAACATGCACTGTTGACTATATTAGGTAAAATGATTGAAATACACAGTAACTATTCTTATGTACTCGCTACAACGATTTGCTAAGTGTGCCCCGAAAATTAGCAGAATTGTGTTGAACGTAACTAATATAGGATTGAATATATTACATATTGTACTTATTATAAATGTCAATTATAAATGTGTAAGTGCGCCGTGATTTTTTTCCTTTGGGAAGTTTGGGACCGTTACCTTACGCCAGGGGTGGCCAACCCTTTTTCGGTCGCGATCGACTAAAATTTTCAAAATCGCTCGCGATCGACTGTTCGGTGATAAAGTGGTAAACATAAACCAATGAATGCTGAGTAGGCAGATAACTACATACACGCATACACAAAATTCCACTGCTGCCAATAAGCTCGGTTCTGGGGGCGCATCTTATAATGAATTTAAAACTTTGTATTGTTTATGTTCTATTTAATTTGATAGTATACGTATAGTACTTGAAGTAAATTTAAATTCACGTGACACCAGTGTTGGCCACCCCTGCTTTACGTCATAGGATTTAATTTATTCTGCGCAGACCACACAGTGGATAGACAATGCAAACATAGGTAACACGGCCATCGCGCACACCAAAAATTACAAATCTTCTTTGTCTTTCAGGTCGTACCAACTAACCAAGCGATGACTGGCGACGATTACGTAGGAATGTTTCACTTCCGGTTTTGGAGATTTGGTTCCTGGGTTGAGGTCATAGTTGACGATCGTTTACCTGTAATTCAGAACCGACTGGCGTTTGGCAGGTCAAGCTCGAAAGACGAGTTTTGGTTATCGTTGCTAGAGAAGGCTTATGCAAAGTAAGTATTTGATCAGGGTATCTTTTAAAATGTCGTGCCACACTTGTCCCACTTGTACTTAGCCTATTCACCACTTATCTTGCCACGGTTGACAAGTAGGAGATGAATTTTTTCTTGAAATTTTACTCCAAAACAGACATTTTCATTGTCTAAAAATATCTTTAAAGCAATGTTGCGCGCTTTTTCCGAGTTGGAGCTGAGTCAGAGTCGAAACTGGTCAAACTGGTCAAACTGTATTCATTTGGTACCGGTACTCCCGTAGTGTGTGTACTAGGTTAGGGTTAGACCATAATTTTATTCTGATTTTCTTTATTTCAGTTCTATTACGAGTTCGGGGACTGTCTGTGTTAGCCAAGTGAATATACCCCCTGCCCATAGGTTTCAGTCCCTTTATACAACTTGATGTAAAGAAGACAAACAAAATTAGTTATCTCCATATTGGCACATACACTTTTGAAAAGCCATTCATTTTTCCGATTAGCTTGAAGTTTGTAGTCAGTTGTATTTGTAAATCTATTCCGGCACCTCAGCCTGAGTATAATTGTATGATTTTCTTTTTGACAGACTCCATGGTTCTTACGAGGCAATTGAAGGCGGATTTAGTCAAGACGGACTTGAAGACCTAACTGGAGGAATGGCTGTATCGTTTGATTTGGGAGATAAAACACCTGGACATTTATTCAGAAGCTTAGTCAAGTAGGTTTAATGTAATTTGACTAATCAATGTTAATGAGCGACGCAATGGCCTAAAGCAGTGGGGCTCCGCGAGTTATTCGTTTACTTAATAAAATACTGACTTGGTTAATTTTGTAACTGTCCGAAAAAGCAATAACGGCATTTGACAATGGTAGTGTGGAAATGTGGCAACAAGGTGGTAATTCGAATACAACATTATCTATAAGTTCCAATGGTCAACAATGTCTTTTTTACTTTCATAAATTTATTGTGTACTCCCGTAGTATGTGAACCAAGATGGCGGAAATTAGGCAATAATTTCAGGTACAAATACTACGGGAGTCACTTGGCTAGTCCCCGAACTCGTGATAGAACTGAAATATGGAAAATTGGAATAAAATTATGGCCTAACCCTAACCTAGTACACATACTACGTTCCGGTGTCTGCCATCATGGTTCACATACTACGTCATACTTCGTGAGGCTCCTTAAATAATATTCAGCCTCCTCAAGGCACCACAAGTTTGAGTACGCCTAGCTAGAATATAACATGACTGAATGCCACATTCATTCTCTATTATACGAACACATTCGATGCCACCCAATCTGTATCGAATCATTTGATTTTATATCTCAAACGTTTTCTATATCTTTCAGGGCATTCCAGAACAACTCATTTGCATGCTGCTCTATCAAAGGCTCCGCCGAGCGTGAGGATTCCAGGGGACTCGTCAGCGCTCATGCCTACACCATCACAGGAGCGACAAGGGTAAATGTGACCATATTTTTTATGTGAAGGAATAGTGAGATAGCGAGGTGCTCCCGAAGTATGTGCACCAAGATGGCGCACGACCTGACAACCCTAACCTGGTACACATATTTTGTTCAGGTTGTGCACCATCTTGGTGCACATACTTCGGGAGCTCCGATAGCGAATCGATTAGAACAGCGTTTCTCAAACTGTGTTCCGCGGAATACTGCTGTTCTGCGAGTTTCTTCGTAGTGTTCCGCAGACCAGAGATCGAAATTACGACTAAATTGGTCGCCATGGTAATCTCGGCCATACTTCGGCGACTCTAGGTTGTAAATTTGTCTCCCAGAAAAAGTCAGTTTTCAGTGAATCATATTCAATAAGGCGTGAGAATTCATGTCTCACTGCAAATGCCGCGAAATTGCAAATATGCCTTTTTTATAAATTTATACCTGAGTTGTTTTTCTTTTTTTTTTGTATTATATGATTTTAGTAAAGTTGCGTTTGCTGCAAATTTTTTCAATAATTTAAAATATGTTCACCATAACGACTATTGCATAGTCAATGTTTGTAGCAAATGTAGTTATTTTTTTACACTGAACCAGTAACAGCGCTTTAGGTGTCGCTTCTTGAAGACCTAACAAGGTCCCTCGCGACTCCTGTCGCACAAATATCATTATTATTATATTTATTTCCTGTGATAATTTTTTGCGCATTTGATGTTTTTGTGACGACAAATAAATGATTGATTGATTGATTGCAATTCCCAGAAAAATTGGGGTGGATAGAGGGCGGGTCTGACATGGCCACACAGACCCCCCTGATTACGTATATGTAGAGATGTCGTTTGATTTCGGGTTTCCACTTCACTTATCTCTAGTTATCTCTTGTATTATTACTATTCACTTCAGACAGTAAGATGCAACATAGATAATATTCCTCAATTTTTTTTTCTAGATTCCGTTCCGAGGAAAAAAAGTCAAGCTGGTGAGGATTCGCAATCCTTGGGGAAACGATGTGGAATGGAACCAAGCCTGGAGTGATGGGTATGCTGCATTGTGTATTTTCAAATAAATCCAACGGTACCCCGTAGTATGTGTACCAGGTTAGGACTAGGCACAATTTTGTTCCGATTTTCCCTATTTTAGTTCTATTACAAGTTCAGAGACTTTTGTGTTAGACAAGTGGGGGCTCCTGAAGTATGCGAACCAAGATGGCGGACATCGGAATGTAATATGTGTACTAGGTTAGGGTTAGGCCATAATTTTAGGTACAAATACTACGAGAGGCACTTGGCTAGTCTTCGAACTCATAGTAGGACTAAAATAAGGGAAATTGGAATAAAATTAGGGCCTAACCCTAACCTGTTACCCATGCTACGTTTCGATGTCCACCATCTTGCTACGTTTCGATGTCCGCATACTTCAGGAGCACCGACAAGAGTATATACCCCCTGCCCAAGAGTTTAATTCTCTTTATATACAACTTGATGTAAACTAGGCGAACAAAATTGGTTATCTTCATATTGGTACACATACTTCTGAAGCGTCAAAAAAGTTTCGAATATTGTTTCACATTTCAACACTTAATTCTATCTAGGTCTTATCTATGGGATGAGGTGGACCGAGTCACAAAAGACCGGATCGGATATGCAGACAAGGACAACGGAGAGTGGTGGATGGATTTCTACGATTTCAAAAAGTATTTCGCTGACTGTACAATCTGCACCATGGGACCGGATTTTGACAGCGATGGTGCTGCTACCGGAGACAGGTTAGAGACTCCTTTAGTAATCTGTTGTTAGTGCACTATGCGTGCTTTCTTGTATTTTAAAATGTATCTTTTCTTATATTCTGTACTTTAGAAGTGTGCCAGTGTAGGGTACGTAGTATTTACCTGTTTCGAGATCTGACTTTCGGTACTCCCGATGTATGTGAACCAAGAAGGCGGACACCGGAACGTAGTATGTGTACCAAGTTAGGGCTAGGCCATAATTTTATTCCAATTTTCAATATTTTAGTTCCAGTACAAATTCGGGGACTAGCCAAGTATTTAAACCTGGTACACGTACTACGTTCTTGGTTCACAATCACATACATCGGGAGCACCCGGCTTTCTTTTAATTGTCTGCTCCACAGTGTCTAATAATAACGAGTAGATTGCTAAGTTGTGTGTTATATTCTTAAGCTAAAAACGACAGTGTTAAAATCGATACAAAACGGTAAAATAACTTAACTCGTCAAGATTTGATTGAGGTAGCAGCTTGCTTGGGTCGGTCGTCGAAGGCGCGTCATCGAAGAATTCCAAGTGTCTAGCTCTATACGCCAAAAAAATCAAATCGGGCGACCAATCAACGGCAACGTTCCCTCTAAGCTGCGCAGCTACGCGGCCGCGCAGATGGCCGAAAATCCCCGCGCAGTACTTTCGTTCTGCCACGCACTGCATAAGTATTAAAATGTTGTGTTCTTTCCTATTTTTCCTAATTTTCCGCGCAGACCTTTTTTTAGAGCTCACGTGGACTTTTATTCCGCGCAACTAAGCAAACTATTAGAGTGAACGTTGATCAACGGCCCACACGACCCGGGCCTAGGTGTCGCTATACTACGTCATCTTCCTAATTAGTAGAACGCACTGCTATATCCGTATAATTCGACAATAATTCGTAAAAAATTGGCAATTTTGAAATTAGGTAATAATATATATTTCTGAACGCGAAATTGAAAATGGAAATAAAGCTCATTATTCGTCACTTTTAATAGTGCATTAGATTTACTTTCTGGGGTTAATAGAGTTCCATATGGCGTAGAACACATGTTGTCAAAGTGCTCTATACGGATGCACGTGGCTCCGTAAGCTATTCGTTTACTTATTAAAATACTGACTTGGCTAATTTTGTTATTGTCCCAAATAGCAATAACAGCAATATTGAACTTTGTAAACGGTAGCGTAGAAATGTGGCAACAAGGTGGTAACTCATATATGACATTATCTAGAAGTCCATATTTATAATTTTTATTTTATAAATTTATTGTTGGACTCCGTAAATAATATTTAACCCTCTCACGGACTGCAGTACACAAAAAGTTTGAGAATCACTACGACCTAATAGTGTTGACATTGTGGCTCAAAAAATGATGCTCCAATCCCGTGCCCGCAATTTCTCTACGGGTAAAGTGGTAAAGAAGACATATCTGAGCAAAGATACGGGCGATCACTAATAAGCAATACGTAGAAAGACATGGGTGCATTACACGCCAGTAATATACTTTGATTTAAACTTTTCGTTCAATTCTAGCTAGTCTCTTCCGAAAAAAAATAGCGCACATACATTTTTCAGTCGCATATCTGTAAAAAACTTATGCATCGCCTTTGCAGTATGCTTATTCTTAATACATTGTGGGTGAAGACTGTTGCCTTATGAGTGATATTATTGCATCGTGGGTAAATAATTGTATTGTGGGTAATTTATTGCATTGTGGGTGACATTATTCCATTATGGGTAAATTTTCTCAGCAATATTTTTTCTCATTTCAGTTGGTTTCTATCTAAAATCAAAGGCAAATGGATCAAAGGTTATTCAGCCGGTGGTTGCAGGAACGAAGTCGACAAGTATGCCACCAATCCGCAATATTATATGGAGTTACGGGAACCAGGTAAGACATTATTGTTTTTTAAGGTAGATGAAAGTTCGTAATGCGTGATTAGGAGCCTATAAGCCTATAGGACGGCTTGACCGTATGGCGGAACTAGGCTTCTCGTCCGGTTACCAGTCCATGTCGGGTATGGGATTAGTTAGTTAGTTGTTTTTGGAAGCATGGTCTTGATGGTGGAGGAAGCCGTAACTAGGGAAGTAAGTTTCAGAATTTCGAATCGAAGCGATTCGAATCAACATCAATTCGAAACGATTCGAAGCAATTTAAGAAAAAAGGGCTTGATTCTATTTAAAAAACAATTTAATGTATACCACAAGGCAACTGCACGACACAGCGACCAATCAATCAATCAATCGTTTATTTTGTCATCACAAAAAAACACGTTCAAACATAAAGTGACACAATGAATAAATTACAGTACTAATCATGTTTTTGCGTGACCGGAGTCGTGGGGGACCTAAGAAGGTCTTCAAGCAGCGACACCTACAGCGCTACAGGTTAGAATAAATATAATTAAATGAGGGATAAAATGAATAAATCCTAGGAATAAGTCACAACTGATACAATTACAGCGACATTCGAAATGTATGCGATTATGACACAGTAAAACAGAAAATGTAACTTTCACGGAATAATTACTAACAACTAATAAAAACGCGAGGAAAGCAAGATAAAAGCACAGAAAAAATATAGGAAGGGCAAGTTTGGCGGAATATGCAACTAAAAGCAATATAAGGCAAACAGTAAATCGAAAATATTCACAGCAAATGCAATTTAGGAGACACTTACGAAAAATTGATAAGGTCTAATGAGGAATACAAACAAACTATTACATCTATATAATGTACATAATAAAGAGGAAAAGATAAAACGGCCTGGTCATTGAAAATAATAGCGAACGTAGGTTAAGGGCAATAAGCTATCGCTCTCCACTCTGAACGATTTTTGAATCAACTATTAGTGTCGCAGATACTCTCGGATTCCGACTCCTTGCACCTATTTTCGTTCGGGTTGATTGACGTTAGCCAGTGTAGGCCAGATCGTTACGGTAATAAAAAGTAGCGACGCTACAGTTATATCGACCAAAAGCGTTTATTAACCTTGCGTTTACAGCTTTTCAAAGCCGTGACACTCTCAGAGTCGTTATATTTCATACTGGTAGCAGCTTTCGAGGGACCAATGGTTCGCTCAATTTTGTTCCACTACTTAAAATGTCACAAAGTTTCACGAATATTTTGAACGTTTCTTCAAATTAACTACATAATATTATTATAATAAAACATCATTGCTTCATACCTTATTAAAAACATGTATGTCTGCGATGCTTGCCTCGCTATCATTACTTCTTTTGAAATCATGGCGCATAACGGTGCTAACTAGCGATTATACTTTGGATGAAATACGAAGGTCAATTTTAGAAGAAACAATCGCTGTACACCCGGTAATATTTGCAAACATAATTGTATGTGAGTAAATATGTAACTGAGTATACTTTTATATAACAAAAAATAAATCTCAGCAGTAATATATTTGGTAGTTGATACATCCATGCAGTGTGTTTTTTTAGTAACTTTCTTAATTCTTCAAGCTCATTATTGTTATTTTATCAAAATTTATACTATATTTCTTCCAATTTAGGAAAGTTAACGATAATATAATAATATACTAAATAGAATCAGATTCGGAAATATTCGAATCGGAACATTGCGATTCGAAATTCGATTTGAAAAAAAAATTTTCGAAACTTATTTCCCAAGCCGTAACCGACCAGCGGTTACAAAACTGTGGCGTTCATTCATCATAATTAATCTTCAAGGTTTTGGCCCGCGAACGCACTAAGAGTGGTCAGAGGTTGTAGGACGGTTTTTATAACGATTAATACGATTGTCGGCCTTCACAGGAAACCCATTTCGTTAAATATCCATGTTATCATGGTTTTTTATTTCAGTTTGTCCGCAAAAGTTTTTACTATATTACCGCAAATTGCGACAAGATTGTCACACATCAGCTTTATTGGTTTATTAATATTGTTAGACAAGAAATGTATCGTTCTGTTATTTTGTTGTTGTTGATCGCCTTTTTTGTATTTCTTTTCTCATTAACTACAGAACCAATTGATTTGAAATTTTCAGAGGTTAAAGATTGTATAGAAGGCTATTGCTTTTATTTGTTTCTAAATTTGCTGTGACATCTGATATTTCATCTGAAATGCGCGGTATAGATTTCAATTTGAGGGAGCACGTTTTATGACACCGTGACATTTTTGACATCGTGACAATTTTTTGTGACATCGTGACAGTGTTTTATGACATCGTGACAATGTTTTTATGACACCGTGACAATTTTTATGACACCGTGACAATTTTTATGACACCGTGACAATGTTTTTATGACATCGTGACAATATTTTTATGACATCGTTACAATGTTTTTATGACATCGTTACCCTGTGTTTATGACATCGTGACAATATTTCTATGACATCGTTACAATGTTTTTATGACATCGTTGACTTCGTGTCCATATATTTGAACATCACTCTCTTGTTATTCCAGACGATTTCGATCTTACCCGAGATGACCCTGCGAACGAGGGCAAATGCTCAATAGTGCTTGGCCTGATGCAGGAGTACAGAAGAATTGGGCGGGAAGACGGACTCGAGAATCTTTACATTGGGATCAATATATACAGGGTGAGTGATGATTTTTATTTTTCCAATTTGCCTTTTTTAATGTAAAAAAAAATTCTTCGGTATCACACACAGCAATTTTTCGTGTCTACAATAGGAAAGTAGAAATTTCACAACCCTTCGAAAATTCCTGACTACGTCCATGCCACACCCATGCCAAAGAGTACTTTTTCCTTCAACCTATATACATCTGAGAACTTGGTACTCCTGAAGTATGCACACCAAGATGTCGCACAAACCTGAACCCTTCCTTTGTACACAACCCGAGTTGAGGTTGTGCGCCATCTTGGTGCGCATACTTCAGGAGGTCCGAAAATTGTAATAACCAAGTTAGTCGTACAATCGGAGGGCAAATGTAGGTTCCATTACAAAAAATTGCTATGGTTGATGCAGAAACATTATTTTTTTCGCATTTCAAAAAAAAAAAAATCGACCCTCAATTCCCAAAGCTACGCCCACTATGATAGAAATGGAATTTGAACCCGCGATTTTAACTCTCGCTGCTATCATAGTGAAGTCTGGCGCTTCAACCTAGTGTTATTCAACCTCTTCCGTAAAGTGCAACCCCAACGAAACAACCCAGAGACTTTAAGAACCCCTGTGCTATTGTAATTGCAAATAAATATTATCTTCAAAGTTTTATTAGTGTTGGAAAACATGATAAGTATTTGATTATATTTAAACAATATACAGTGCTCCTGGAGTATGCGCACCAAGATGTCGCACAACTTGAACCCTAATCTGGTTCTAATCTGAGTTCAGGTTGTGTGTCATCTTGGTGCGCATACTTCAGGAGGTCCCTATATACATATATTAAAGTTTGAATGGAAACTTGCAGAAATAGGAATTCGGACTGAAAACAACACCTTTAACCGCCCTTTTCTCATGATATCATCATCAACTTATGATTCTCTTCTTTCAAACAGCTGAGCGGCAAGCCCGGTCGTCGTCTTCCGACTAATCACTTCCGGTATAACCGTGACCTCGTGAACTCCGGCTCCTACATCGATAAGAGAGAAGTTAGCATAACCACTGAACTGGAACCGGGTCATTATGTCGTCATACCCTCGACTTTTCACCCAGACAAAGTCTCTACCTTTCTGCTGAGAATTTTCACGGAGAAGCGAATCGATCTGGAAGAATTACTATGAGAACAAAAAAGACGCGAAAAATTTGGATTTTTGTGATTTAATTGCGCCGAAGGCGCGTAAAAACTTTGTTAAATGTTTATCTTTGACCTATACGGCTTCAAACGACCCAAAAACCTCGAAATTAAATTTTTTTTTTAAGGCAATTAAAATAAATGGTCGAGATATTTGGAATGAACTGCTTTCATATTTGGCTTGTTTTTGATGGTGTTCCTTATAAGGTTGAAAGGTCAAGCAGAGATGTTCTAAACAAATCAAACATTTAAAATTAAATATATTTTAATTTTTATATTCCTGATTTTAGGAATAATTTAGAAATTTCATTTAAAAATTATCAGTTTGTTTAATTGAGGTCTCGCAGCAGAACGGAAACCTTCTCGTTAAATATACTTTGAATCCTATGTGTTCTACGAACATGACACATAGGCGGAAGGTGCAAACTAAACTTACGACAAATAAATTTAATCCTCCCCTTGGGTATTCCCCGGTTGGGTATGATAATTAACATACCTACATTGACTTTGACCAATCACAAGAAATCAATGCTTGTCACGACTTTTTGTGAATAACCACTTTAAATTCTTCTGTAACTGTAATATAATCAATAAGTAGTGAATTATATAGCAATCATTGCGTCATTAGTGACATCACTTTGATTACCTCACACCTTAGTTATGCTTTGTCACAATCGATAGTTTAATTTTCCTGATCATGCGATCAGAATATAATCAATGAGAAGCGAACAAAATTCCAATCACTACGTCATATGTGACGTCAATTTTTTACGTCACTCTTATATTTTATATTAAAGTTATCAAATTCTACCACATTCGCCAATGAATTATGAAGTAAATTCTAATCATTACGTCATTGATGACGTCACTTTGATTGCGTCACATTCAATCACATTTTATCCCAATTAACACTTTGATTTTTCAAATTATCACGAAGGTAATTCCAATCATTACGTCTTTAGTGACGTCACTTTTTATTCACATGACTTTAATTTTATTCTGCCTTTTTTCATTTTGTATTTCTGCACAATTTATTATTTCTAGAAATTATTATTATTAGAATCGTACTTTTGCGGCTTGTTGCAATTTTTGTGTTTTTGCAAGAAATTTCAGGTTATTTGAAATCTAGTTTCAATCGAAAATTTTAACCCGTTTCGCACTTTTTTTCTGGAATAAATGATTATACTCTTCTTTGCTTTGTGTATGTGTAAGTACGGGTTAAACTCCCATCCCTCGATCTTGAAATAAACGAAAGATCAACAACAGCTCCTAACCAACGGCCCGTGGCTCGGAAAGTGGCGGTACAGAGTAGTTGCGGGGTATTGGGTGTCAATGTTACGCGCAAAACTGTTTTCACTTTGCTAAGCAAGAACTGTTTGAATATGTCGGGGTTTGGAATCGACCAGTCAAAATGACACTATAAGTATCATTTGCGCTGATTAATTGGTCTCTGCGAGACTAACTACTTATCCTTCTTCTATGCTTTTGTGTCGGCGGATCCGTATGTGTATATTGCAAGGATGCTGTAGCAAGAGTAAAGATAACTATCCTAAGTGATTCATGAGTCTGCCAAGTGTGGCATGCAATACATAGGAGAAACGAGATGACATTTAAAATACCGAATAACTGAACATATTGGAAGTATAAAAACCCAAAACAAAGATCTGGTTGTTCAGTCAACCGGGACATTCGCTTAAAGATTTTAGTGTCATTGGCTTTGAAAAATATTTCATGACCACATTTATCGAAAGAACAAGGAATCTCATTTCATTCATCTTTTCGGGACACACGAGCCACAAGGGATGAATATTAAGGAAGTTTAGACCAAATACAAAAAATTTTCATTCATTGTTTTAATCAATTCTTGTACCTAATTTTTTTTTTAGAATTGGATCATGAATGGCCAGATATGCTGATAACAGACAAAATATCACTATATTACATTTGACACACAGACAACTTTTCTGGTCTGCATTACACAATACTGAGAAACAAAACACCATTGTTCAATTTGGACTTCAATTGTTAAATATAAAACACAAAGAGAGATCTCATCAATGACATTTATTTCGGCCACCCGCTGTTATTAAATCAAGAAATTCACCGATTTTATTGAATATTTAACATGCGTGACTTCCATAATTTTACACTGATTGTTCAAATATGTATGCAACTGCTTTTCTTGTTGTAGTTGAACTATGTATGTCTGAAGAAGTCTGACCTTGGTCAGACGAAACGTTACAGAATTTTATTTGTGTTAGTATGCAGCAAGACTATTGAATCACTTAGGATTGTAAACATTAACTCGTTTTCGAGATTCGTCCGTTTTCTTTTTGTCAGATTTTAGTCGTCTTTCTGAAATTCATGTATACATTCAATAACTCAATGGTCATTCTGTTTTGCGAGGTGCTTCAGCCTAGTTGCTGTGGAGAAAATATAGTCCCGAGACAGACTATGACGACAGACTGATCTAAAATTAATCAGTGTTTTTAAATGCCGACTCATTAACTATTTTGAATAAAAAAAATGATTGTTAAGGAACATGTAACTCAGTTTTAATCGCCATGCAGTGATTTCCCTAGACCAGGGTGATTCAAGGTTGTCGGCCCCGCGGGCCACACTATAATTTGTGTATTGTTCGCGGGCCACAATAATGCCAAGAATAGGTAAAGAGTGCCTTAAGGAGAAAATGCCGTTTTAGTTTGTCACCGACACAACTTGCAGACATATTGAGCAAGCATTGTGGTATTTTTCCTCCCATATCCAGTCAAAAATTTGTTTGAATTGGTCAGCCTTTATTTTTAAACTCATGTTTACAAAATACCTGAAAACTTATTGATTACCGAATTTTACGAAATTTAAGATACGGGAGGGTAGCCTAATTACTAAATATTCTGACATATAGACAGCATTTTTTTGTAATACTGTTTAGGCTGGTAGCGAAAAAACACCCGGCAGGAATTATATTGGTCGGCCGTTACAATATATTTAGTTATCAGCCAGGGGCGGAATTAAGCCCCTTTGGTGCCCTAGGCACTGAAGACTTGGTGGCCCCCTCATGGTGTAATTTTGATTATAACTAACAATAAAGGACATAAGTGTATTATTCCATTAAAAAATAATCCAAACAAACATTAAAATAAACCAACTTTTACAAAACATTTGTTAGGTTTTTTACTGTTATTAAAGCCAGATATATATTTTGGCCTTTTACTGCCGATATGATATATCGTCAAACACGCAATATCGAGCCGGATATATCGGTTGAGCTCTAATCCTGAGGGATGTGATAATAAAGATTCATGCCTCCAGTCTCAACGTGGAATCAAAATACCAAAGGATACAAGTCACAAACTGTAGTTTGAAATTTTACCGGTACCTAGTAGTCTACCTCAGGGTGGTTCAAGGTTGCTAGGTTGAAGGACCGCAAAAACTTTTGAGGAGGTGTCGCGGGCCGCAAGTCGAAGAAAACCCAAAAGTGATCTAAATACTGCGAATTTACTTACCTTCAATTTAATAAACAACGAGAGTTTACCGTTCTAATCAGACTATTATTATGTTGCATGGGTGGCGTTCTTTTAAAGAAGATATATAAAACCTCCAGATAATTCAAAGTTAATTCCCGAGAATTACCGTTGTATTGCATTGCATCCATCATATCTCGGACCAGAAGTCATGTAATTTTGAATGAATTATGTCGTATAATTAGCGAGTTATTAATTAATTAGTGATGGGACAAGCGGTGTCGCTACACACACACTGCTAGATCAATAAGTCAGCGGTCTCTGATCGCCATCTCGTTAAGTATCTTGTTCGTTCAGTTTGATTCTGTTTATCATTGGTTAATTTAAATAAAAAAGCGGGACAATAACTTAGCTAAAGAAAACAGAATCAAATGGGACAGGCAATTACAGAAAAGTATCCTATAAAAACCTTTACTGTCGAGGGATATTTTGGAGAAATGAGACAATTCTCGTGAAGTTGCCTTTACTGATGTAATTAGATCATGGGTGTGAAACCTTTGTTACTAGCGGGCCAGATACAAGTATCTGGGTGAAGCCGCGGGCCGCCCATTCATTTAAAGTAGCCGTATTAGTAGTTGCAGGCACAAAATATTGTTTCTTTTCTTGCTATTGATCAAACGGCATTGTTGGGGGACCTTGCGGTAATGGCGAGTGAAAACGCATAAATTTCTAAAAAAAAAGCTATTCAAATTTATTGTCACACCGACTTTAATTCGCGTTTTCATATCATTGCGTATTTTGCCAGCTAGTACCTCGCACGTACTAGATTACCTACACTAAAAAACGTTTCGCGGGCACACCATTCAAAATTTGCCGCACAATTTTTCTTTGTGGGCCGCATTTGGCCCGCGGGCCCCAGTTTGCACACCCCTGAATTAGATAATAATACTTTAAAATCAATTCCAAATCTTTCGATTTATTTTGGTTACACTCGAACAGTTAATTAAATTTGAAGGTATTTTGGTCGCTTGAAGCTGTATAGATCATAGATATACATTTAACAAATATTTTAGGCCCTTTCGGCGCAATGGCTTTCCCCGAGCATCGACTTCCTTGTTTACTCTAGTGACATTGGCCAATTAGCAATATGCAAAAAGTGACGTAAAAATGCCCCCTTTTCGCATCCGCTCAGACACTTTTCTCACTCAGACAAATTTATATGTATGTATGTTTATTTGCCTAAAAATGTAACAGTATCTGCATAATAATCAAACAGTAAAACAGAAATTGGATACATTTCAAGACCTTTATGGCCTAAGACACAGATGTGCGAACTATCCCTACAATTATAACAGCAGTTTAGACTGCTGCGTTATGATATGACAACAGACATGAAATAGCTATACAAATAAAACTCTAGTAAAATACACAAGACAAGGAAACGACACAAATAAAGATATGTACAATATTGTCAGACACAGGAAAATTGTAAAACAGAAATGTAGAAATCCTTTGTTTAAGTTTGTGTTGTAATCATAGTTTTCACTGGACAAGAAAGAAAGCGAAGACTAAGGGTCTATGCAGGCGTTTTCGCCGTTTTTGAACTTTATTCGTTAGTTTCAGCTTGGTTTCGGAAGTTTAAATATAAATCAGATAAATTCAATGATCCACTCTGTCTTCTTTATGGAGTTTTATTCAAGTGTGTGATAATAAAATGTTTGTGTAAGAATAGCTAAGAATAGACTATGGACTTGAATTCTTCAACGATACATTTTACAAAACTTATTGTTCGAACTGCGTTATGAATCAGAATGATTGGTTTGAAACAATACCCATAATACACCCTCCTACTTCGCTTTAAACCACTTTTCCTTAAAATAAGTGCTCTGAAAAATTTTGCCAATGGTAAAGTTATAGGATTTTCTCGGAAGAGTCCAAAGTTCGGGAAAGGTCCATTAAATTTCGGGAATCCATTTCTTCTGCGTTCCTTTTTGCTCTCAGTGTAATTCCTCCAGATCGATTCGCTTCTCTGTGAAGATTCTCAGCAGAAAAGTAGAGACTTTGTCTGGATGAAAGGTCGAGGGTATGACGACATAATGACCTGGTTCCAGTTCAGTGGTTATGCTAACTTCTCTCTTATCGATGTGGTTACCGGAGTTCACGACGTCACGGTTATAAAGGAAGTGTTTAGTCGGAAGACGACGGTCGGGCTTGCTGCTCAGCTGTTATGAAAAAAAGAATAATATGATCAAAATGAAACCATGTACTGTACCATACCAATCTTGCAAACTATAGCTACCACCCAGCAGTGTGTGCCTGCGCAGTACCGTGTTCGAGGGGAAAGGCATATAAATACGTTGAATAAAAAAGTACTCCTGTACAAGGGCGTAGCGTGGAATTTCCAAATGAGGAAGGGGGTTCTATAATTTGCATTTGGCAAGTTGAATTCGGAAAACCAGGAAGTGCAAAAGGTTTTGAGTGTCAAAAAAGCGTTTCAACGTACGAAAAATTGTTATGCATGATACGGAATTTTTTTTTACATTCCAAAAGCGGGAGGGTTGCCGACACGCAGTATGGGAATGCCCGTCTACAAGTATAAGGATGTTTCGGAGTAGGAGTTGCTTAATTTATTATCTGCTTTATCTAGCCTTCTTCGGAGCGAAAATTCGCTTTCATTCTCATTAACATATTCATGAAAGCATTTCTTTATTATTTGCTCCGAAAAAG